AATGAAATCACAGGGTTTTCCAGAGCTCAGTTCCATCGATGGTGAGAACGGAACGTAATTGTGCAAGTATAAACTCTCCAAAAAGTTTCCAGATTAAATCAAAGGCAATTTGATTTTTAACTTCACAAAGGTCTTAAAGAACTTGAACTTTTTTGGGATTGTAATTAAGTCCATTCGTGTATCAAACTATATATCAGTAAATACACAAGACACATAACTCTTTATGTCTTTTATTCTCAATTTTATTGATAACAATCATTTATTTTGACGTTTAGTGTTCTTCTAAACAAACCTGGGTGCTTCTAAAGTGCATGAGAAACATGGAAAATATTTGTACTRATTCAGTCAGTTTTCACCTATACTATAAAATCTCCTTTACAAAGCGGGTGATATAGCTAAATCATCAATATTGCCATATAAAATATTCTAAGCGTAAAATGGTATTAGTGAGTTAAGGAATAAAAAACAGTTTTCCGTGTATTATACTCTGATAAAAATACTTGGGATGTGGGGAGAACACGAGAGAAGCGTAGGAAACCACGACGAGAAGCGAGTGTTCTCTCCACATCCCAAGTGTTTTTATCAGAGTATAATACACGGAAAACTGTTTTTTATGGCTTTTATAAAATAACAAGCGCTCAAATATTCATGAGGGAAAAAAAATGACGCGCGGTCCATTTACTGGTATGGCCGTTTAGCCTAATGACGTCATCTGTGTTTTGGCGAAATAAAAGTATCAGGCGGGTGTCTTATAAAAGCTACGGACGAGTAAGGTTTCTTAGCGAAATTTGCGCCATCAGAAGTCGATAATCCCTTGGATAATCAATAAAGGAGATGCCTACACGCTAGAGTATGTTAAAAAACCTATCTGCATATAACTGAACCTTGTTGTTTGAAAAACTCCTGAGACACAAGCGTAAACACGAACGAAAAACAACAAGTTTCTACTTTCGTCAATGCCATGGTGCATCTCGCCACGAGGGGAAAGGAGTCCATTCACTTCTATTCAATAGGATCAGGAAAAGTTTATGTTGAAGCAGCGTTTTTAAAAATCATTATGAATAGACCAACCTACAATCATCTATTTGATCTAGCATCAGGACTATCATCATCTGAACTTTCTGACGATCTTTTTCTGAAGTTATCACATCGCTTCTTTGATAAAGAAATGAATTGCTTCATTTTTTCCACTAACTCCGTCGGCAGAGTGGTTTGCTCGGGGCGGCTAATCGATTTCTCCATAAGAGCTAAGATTTCGATCATTTTCTTTTCTTGTAAAGAATCTATTGAATCATGAGGACCTTGAGCTTCATTTTTTGCTTGTTGCTGGCTTGAACTATTTTCTTTCTCAAGTTTATGGAGTTTCGTTTTTGTCCGGTCCAATTCTTCACGCAGCTTCTCTATAGTTTCTTTATCTTTTANCGTGATGCTAAAACTCTCTATTATGAATAGACCAACCTACAATCATCTATTTGATCTAGCATCAGGACTATCATCATCTGAACTTTCTGACGATCTTTTTCTGAAGTTATCACATCGCTTCTTTGATAAAGAAATGAATTGCTTCATTTTTTCCACTAACTCCGTCGGCAGAGTGGTTTGCTCGGGGCGGCTAATCGATTTCTCCATAAGAGCTAMGATTTCGATCATTTTCTTTTCTTGTAAAGAATCTATTGAATCATGAGGACCTTGAGCTTCRTTTTTTGCTTGTTSCWGGYYTGAMCTWTTTTCTTTCTCAAGTTTATGGAGTTTCGTTTTTGTCCSRTCCAATTCTTCACGCAGCTTCTCTATAGTTTCTTTATCTTTTATTCGTTCCTCAAGCACTTGTTTAAATAATTCATATACATTTGTCAAGGTTTGCGCCAGTGCTAATGATATCTTAAGGTCGTTAACAATGTTCTGCCTCAGTGCATTTTTCCTAATCAYCTTCTCAATTTCTTGCCCACTTTGGTTTTCGCGTAGGTTCTCTTTGATCAACTTTTCGTCTTCCATAAATTCGTTTGACAGTTCTTCAATTCCTTTTGACAGTTTTCCAAAAGTCAACTGTGTTTGTATTATTTGTTTGACCAATTCATAATAATCTATAGGAGGACTTCCCCTAAGCCTGTTGAGTAGGCTTATCATCTTGGCCATTGGTGCCATTGGTGTCAAAATTTCAGCTGAACGACTGGCATAAGGTGCTGAAGATATAAATATATAAAACAATTTTAGACTACTGCCTCGAGTAAAATTCGGATTAAAATTCGGGTTTACGCTATAAATTTGATGACATCGCATTCATTGACACAATTAGATGAGTTGACGGTTTCGGCCACCATTTTGTTCCGGTAGGCAAAGTGTCGCAAAATAACAAGGAATGACCGGGAAATCGATGTCAAATAATTCTCGCTGAATTCAAATTCAGAAAGAATTATCAATTGCAAACGTTAGATACCTCAAAAAGGAGTTAACGAGCAAAATTTGAAAGGTGTACTTGATCTAGAGAGCGAGTAAACTCATTTTTAGTTCTCCATACATTTCTTTGTAATTTCAATACATTTCGTTATCATTTCCGGGTCATCAGTGCGTGACGCGCGTGAAAAATACAAAGAAATGTATGGAGAACTAAAAATGAGTTTACTCGCTCTCTAGATCAAGTACGCCTTTCAAATTTTGCCAGTTAACTCCTTTTTGCAGTATCTAACGTTTGCAATTGATAATTCTTTCGGAATTTGAATTCAGCGAGAATTATTTGACATCGATTTCCCGGTCATTCCTTGTTATTTTGCGACACTTTGCCTACCGGAACAAAATGGCGGCCGAAACCGTCACCTCATCTATTGAGCAATAAGTCACTTAGATACTAGGTGATAAGATACTTAGATGGGTGATCAATAGTGAAAAAAGCACCCTCAAAAAAACTGACAATTTCAAAAAAAATTAAAAAAGAATAAACAATTTAAAGTTAAAAAAATAAAAAAAATGATGAATCGTGTGATGTCATTAAATTAGCATAAYAATTTGTTCAATCTTATAATTTCTCTAAAATTTGAACTAAGCCTACATTCAGTAATTTTTAGCCAAGCCAGTTCTTCTATTTCAAATGTTATTTTTAAAATAACCCAACAGCATAATTACTTGTGCTAAATATGGTCGGAGTGTCTTAACGTCAGGCGCAGTCGAACATTTTCAAAGTGCTGTGCTTGTGTATACAACCTTGCCGAATATTATTATTTCGGACTTTTTGCCATTTCTCTTGTTCTGTTATTTGAAAGTTTTAATGTTTATGGTTGTTCCGATGATTTTTCCAAAACAAAACAACAACAACAACAAAAAAAAAACAAAAAAAAAAAACGATTGCCTGACGTTTAGACAATCCAAAATACAATATCTCATCAACAAATCAAAGGCAAAGCTCACCCAATTGAAGAGTTCCTCTGTCAGACGATATGTCGTCAGGTTTTGCAAAGCTATAAGTACAATTTGAGAAATAATCCACCATTACAAGGATGAATTTTATAAACACATGGGATTATCATGGATGCATGTATAAGTATGCATATATAAACAAGATCATGCATTCCTGTGCCATTAACAACTAACGATACAATTAATGTGAGGGCCATTGATAATCCTTTGACAAATTTTTTTGCTAACTATGAGGCTTAATTATATTGAAATAGAGAAATTGATCATAAAGAGCAAGCCCTTTTGCTTTAATAGATCAGACATTTTTTTTCTTGTTTAACTTACCTTTCATCCGCAGATTGTGAAGAAGGAAATTTTGTCCTCACTGTCAGTAAACCACCTGAAGTTTGAAATGAATGAAATTTTTAAAATAAGGAATTTACATGTAATATGTCACAAATTTTTTCCTTTTCTTGGGCCAAAAAAAACATTAMTTTTTAAAACAACCTGACTTTCTTGATAACACAAATAACTTTGAAACAAAAWTAAACTAAAAAATAATAAAATTTATCTGAAAATGTACCTGTAGCAGCTGGTTTCACAGGATTCTTTCCTTTCTTGCTAATAGGAACAAGTCCTTCTTGAACGGATGAGGGCTTTTCATCATCTAAAGCCTTTTGTTCTGCAAGTTAAAATTTGATTTACTCACTATATATCCCAAAATCTTACAGTATTTAACGTCTTTACAATCTGAAGCTCGGTTTTCATTAACTTCATATTCTAAAGTTAAAACCTGATTTGTTGAAATTGTAACATACTTCCCAAGCATGGGGTTCACATTCACAAACCTCAAGGCAAAAACCTAAGTTCCCCACTTTCAAGGGAACAGAGCCTGCTGTGAGTGCTGTAATGTTTAGTCCATGGTTGTACCTGATACAGGGTTGTTTGTATCTAATTATTTATTTATTTGCTTGATTAAATTTATCTGTTGGAAATAAGACTTGATTTGCAGAATCCCATTGAACAAAACACAGGTTCTGTCTCGCCTGGCTTATAATAATTATTATTTACAATAAAGTCCTATTACAACAAAGTTGAAAACTGAATGTAAACGTTCACACCTCATGCAACACTTTATGTCAGTCTCTCTCTCAGTTCTAAAATATTTTCATTTTCATTTTCTGATAATTATTTCTTCCTGACCAAAAAACGTGTGTTCGCTATAGCCGCCACATTGGATTAGACTTTTAATTTTGAGTTCTTGTGTATGCCCATATTTGTAACATTACAATAATATCGCACATTATAGATACTGTTGCTAATGAAAGTGTTTAAATTGGGCAAGTTTGGCCATGACCGTGTTAATGTTTTTTTTGCCTGGAAAATTCACATCAAATTTTAACTTCTTTCTATCATAAAAATATAATTGTGCATAATTAATGTATCCTCAATAAATAATACTGCTTTTTTCTACTATTTATAGTAGCTGCTTAATCTTTCAAGAATGATAAGGTATAATAGTCTCCTTCTCGGTTACTGAACACGAATCAAGACAACCGTTGAACATGCAATGATAGTAAACTGTGAAAAATTGTCTGTAGGTGTGAAAGAAGGTTTCAATCATTGCACGCTCAACGGTCTTGCTTCGATACAAAGGCACGGCTGCCTTTCAAGATGGCACAGGTAACCGTGAAGAAGACTATAACTGTCTTAAAGAACTAAATGACAAAAAAAGAAAAAAAAGAAAAAAATGATGGGTGCAAATATATTCAAGAGTTAAATCAAATTAATTATCAAATCAACACATTTGTACTCATTTTGGTAGTGACAGAGTTATCATAAGACTTGGTTTCATTAATTCTTATCAATGAATCACATTGGAAATCACCGAGCAGTTTCCATAGTATTCTGGCATGATCTCTTACCATACCAAACAGTATCATACTGCAATATATTACAATATCATAGTTCTATCTATAAAGAGGTCTGAAATTCCTGTTGCTCTCGAAATGCTCTCATATTGTGAAGTACGTATATGCGTATGAATGTGCAAGAACCATATAAGTTAGTACTAAGTAATGGTTTTATATAAATCATATAACAAACTAGTACACTCTATATGTTTGTCCATTCTCCATGCAGTACCTTCATATATGAGCTTGTAGGTGTTCTTATAAAACTTATTAATAATGCATAAGCTATTGCTCCAATAAGGGCTGACCATTTAATCAGGTGATTGACCTTGTAAATCTGATACAACCACTAGTGGTTGTATCAGATTTACAACACGGTCGTCACCATTGAGACAACCCAACACTAGCAAAGGTCTCAGTTTTACTGTCGCATCATAGACCTTCACTAGGTTTTGAAGCAATCAAAGACGGATAACAGAACTCGCTTATGCAACAGATGGCTTGCTTTCCATGTGGGATGGATAATTATTCAAAATATTCTGTGTTGCAGTAAATTGCGCATGCTTAATAGGGACTAAACTCAGCAGTTACCTTATTTGTCATTTTTCGTCATTTATCTCACTGTAATTCATGTTAATTTGTGTTGGAGTTTTATAAGTCGTTTACAACATTCGCGTCCGTGTTGTATGGGAATTACAATCTCTCGCCTGCGTCTCGAGATTGTAATTCCCATACAACACGGCACGGCCGCTCATGTTGTAAACTATACTTATCATTCACAACCGTCAATAGCTCCCATTTAAAAATAACTTCAACGTCATATTTTCCCTCCACAGGACCCTTCCCGTGAAGCAATACGCCACAAGGATGCAAATCATCACTTTCATTTTTCCAGTACACCTAGGTTCATCTTTGCTAAATTTTAATGCCACAAATTTAGCCCTACTCGTGTTGTCAGATAATTTACATATGCTGCAAACAATTCATTTCCCTTTTTGCAAAATTCTCTTAATTTTAGTATATTGTCCCAACATTTATACTGTGCTCTGAGACATTGCTTTGGGTCTTTTCAGATTCAGACATTTAAGTGTACAGCAGCTTATCACGTCAATCATTGACAGACATCCATGCAGCAAGGCATGATTTCTTGTTTGGAAAGACTTATATATCATTAATCCATTCTTTGTCCAGTTTTCTTAAAACCCATCATGGGATTCATTTTTTGATCAATCTATGACTGTCCCACACTCAGCCACTTATCAATCATAACTTTAAAACAAGATTTATGAACTGAAAAAGTTTAAATAACTAGATGTACCTGCAGCAGCTGGTTTCACATTATTCTTTCCTGTATTCTTATTTGGAACAACTCCTCCTTCACCTTTATCTTCATTTAGAAACTCCTCACCTTCAAAGAATTTTTTTTTGAATTTCTCACTATCTTCACAATCTGAAGCACAATTTTCATTAAATTGACATATTCCTGATTAACTTGTACATGCACATACACCTTAAGTTCAAATCTGATTTTTCTATTTGAATTGATAACTTACTTTCTAAGGCAAGAGGATAATTCTCAGCATTGGCAACTGTAATATTTAGTTCACAATTGGTAGCAACTACTCCTGGTTTATTTGTATTATGTGCTTGCTTATCTGTTAGAAATAAGACTTGATTGATCATTGATGCTAAAACACACATTTTCTTCATTCAGAATAATGTCATCTATGTTTTACAATAATTATTTTACTTTATAAAAACAATGCATACTTCTTTCAAGGATGAGAAGCCAAATTTGTCTAAGAACAATTATAACAAAAAAATTAATTCATCTCCAGGCTTTTCATCTGTCAAAATGTAAATAATTCTTGATAGAATTACCTCTACCCTACCACCGGAAGCTGACGTCACCAGAAGTAAACTAACATGATTAAATATTGCTAAATGTAATCTTTTTTCGCCATAAAATTCATTTTCCTGGACAAAATATTATTTAATTATTCAAATTCAAGCTCACTGGCTAAAAAAGATACCMRAAGACCTAGAATCTGRGTCGTACAATATGCAAGCCTCATTGGCAACTTCAAAGGTTCATATCATTACCTTCAAGCTGAGATGAGTCTGAAAGCACACTTCCAGAGGGAACAGAGTCAGTGTTCATTGCAGCATTTTGTCCATTGCTGGCCTTTGAGCMGTCTGCACTTGTATTTGTTTGATTAACTAGGTTGGAAAAGAATTTCAAAATAAATTTATGATATCTACCTGTAGAAAGACTTTGTGAATTTTCCCCTAGATCAATTTCATCTTAAGACTTTTCATCTGTTAAAATTTAATCTAGTACTTGAACCTTAAACTAATATATTACTGTAATCATTGTGATAATACAAAATGCACCTGCATCACAGAGATTGAGCATGGAAAGATTTTGATAATACGATTAAAATCATTAATTYGGTGATTATGGAAATGGGATCCCTGTGTCATCCTGGATATCAGGATATCTTATTACCAATGGTTACTATATAGTTGATTACTTGAGTTAGTTTACATGTACTTGTACTACTTATTGCTTTGTTGTGGTTGAAACAAAACAACATAAAAAAATGTTCTACACCAGATAATCCATGTGTATAGCTTTAAAAATGTTGAAAAATAATGAGAAAAATACTTCTTTTCTTTTGCACACTAAGTCTGCATTAAAAGAAATGGGTTGATTTTGTGGAGTTAATAGCAATGCTTAATTAAAAGTCTAAGATTTATTTGAAAATGATAAGGCATCTTTTTCGGTTGGATGGCCATTTTGATACATTGACTTAATAACTTTAAACAATCCTTGTTAAAATTCACTTAATGCCCTGTATGCTTAAATCAATCATTGCAAAATAAAACCAAGCTGCCAATGGCAACATAACTCAGAGATTGTGAGAGCTGCTTTTGCAAAATGGTCAGATAGATGTATTTGTAAATGTTCTGTCGCCAACTGGACTCAGACAGCGGACCCTCGCTGTGCTCCCTATAAAACTACTAAAACATGCCAGTTTTCATCAAAGTGGCACCGTGTCCGAATGGTTTAAGGTGCTGGAACATACGGTGAATTATGGGGAAATAAATATTCAGAGGGACTTCAGGAATATGAATTTCATTTGCATAGCTAATTAAAGAAAAATTTATAGGAAGACTGTGATGACGAAAATAAATATTACCTGACAGTTACTATAGCAACAAAGGTAGTTTACAGGAAAGTGAGTGAGTGAGTGACTTATTAGCGAGTGAGTGACTTATTAAAATCAATAGGTTTCAACATATTTTCGAATGGTCTAACAGTTTGTTCTAAGTCTTCAAACTGCAAAACAAAGCTGAAACATTCCTCATGGAACCTCTGCACACACTTCTGAAGATTTGAATGATAAAATCAAGATAAAGAGTACTCAAGTGTGACGTCACAAAAATACTTTTTTTCATATTCATTGAAATATTCTTGAAGCGCATGGAAGAATGTAGCTATCTACCAAATTTCAGTGTCATAGTGCCATTTATAGTGGAGATACATTTAAGCGTTTTTATGGTCGGGTGACCACGCATACAATGCTTGTAAAATATCTCTGCTATAAATGTCACTAAAGACACTCACATTTTGCAAGGATGCATTATAAATGATGCACTTTCAGAATATGGAGGGCAAATTTAAAAACTCAAAAGAACTTAAAAAAATCAAATAAAATGAATTCAAATATAACTACAAGTACCTTTAGCATGTTCTGATGTATTTTCCTCTTTACTATGATCAATTTCATCTTCAGGATTTCTATCTGCTAAAATTCAATGGACAAATTTAATTGTTAAATTGAATACATTGTAGTTATCATATGATTTGGTTCATGATAATTCCTCTTTTGACTGCATTCACCTTCATCCAAAATGCACTTGCAGGTGATTTTTCCATTTTCACATACTGAATAGCTTCCAATAACTTTGACTTCATATTTGCAGTCAGTTTCTTCCTTTCCACAAAACAATATGCCACAGGGATACAAGACATCATCTTTATGACATATTTCAAGGACATCATGTTGGGCATTTTGACCACTGATAAATTTCAATTTTACCAATTCAGGCCTTGTCTTATCGCTTGATTCATCACCCCCTACACCAAATAACTGATTGGATAATTCTGTTGGTGATTTTATTTGCAGAATGGTTTTGCTGTACTTTGAGACATGTTTAGGGATACGTGTAGGTTTCAAAGGCAGACATCGGTGATTAAATACCTCAACTACGTCTTCGTATCTCATCAAATTCAATAGTTTAATTTTTTTCTTTTTGATATCAAATAATCTAGCCTGAATAAGTCTAATATTTTTTCTTGGAAATTCATCTGGCAAAAGCAGCATATACTGGTTTCTAGGCATCAATTGTTGACAGTCTATAATACAGGCTTTCATACGATAAGTAATAAAATGGCCCTCTTGAACTGTTACTTTCATATGCACAATCCCTTCTGTGCCATTATAATCAAGGCCTTTCATCACTTCACGATACTTTTTCATTTAGCCCTGTAAATATCATAATTAGGCTGTCAGAAGCACATAAAAATACAATCATAGGTTCAGGGGCGGATCCAGGATTTTTTTAGGGGGTTGACTTTTGATTTTTTAAGAGTAATAACATATTTAATTTTCCCGCCAAACGTACCAAAGCACCGCGAATGCATGTGTGTTCTTAGATGCCCGAGACGCTAAAAAGTGTTAGTCCTTTTGAAAAGTGTTGTTTATCGAAATATCAACCAATTATTTCCCTATTTCCTTGATATGAATATTTCTATATTCAATTTATCCAGGAAAAAGGGGGGTGAACGTTCACCCAGTTCACTCCCCTGTATCCGCCCCTGAGGTTGGGTAGGGTTTCAATACAGTCTGTCTGATTACCAGACATTAAATATTAAACGTTCTTTTAAAATATAAGCTTACCATAGGTGTTATTCTTAAGGTTTATCATACCTGTACACACCCTTGCACATTAAACACTTTTAACTGACTGTTAGTTTGACCTACTAATCATACTCAAATTTCCTCTAATAAACAGACAAGTCTTGAAAAAAGGCATGGTTGACCCATTTTAAAACCCTAAGAGATTTCACAACAAATGTTGTTAAACTAAATTAGTTCATGTCATTTCAATCCCCCCGGTACTTTTACCCCTGAGTCCCCCCAGGCCTTAAATGCCAGTGCAGTACTTTAAAAAATCTCATCTTCAAACTTACCAAGAGAAATTACTCAATACTTGCACAGCTTTATCTTTTAAGCCAACAAGCAAGTCTTCTGCTTAAATGTCAGGTTCAGAAATTATAAGTATGTTGAAAAGCACAGAAAAGCAAAATAAGGCTAGAAGAATTTCTTTGGTTTTGTGATATATTATTTATTTAACAAGTAAATAAGGCTCAGCCGTGGTTTATACTCTGATAAACACATGATTGGCATTTGAAACACACTCAAAAATGTCCAGAAGCACTTTTGAGTGTTTCATATGCCAGGCGTGCGTTTATCAGAGTATAATGCACTTATCATTTGCATTCCCGAGCGTCGACCCCCGGGGCACCCCCGGGAAATACCTGGGAACCCAAGAGGAATAGTTCAGTTTTGTACTTGCTTTTTTTCCCGTGGGGAGGGGACGTTGGATAGTTTTTGTAATGATCTTGCTGGTCCACAGGGACATACATACCCACAGGATTTGTTTGACTTTTGGTCAATGCTTTTTTTATCGTAAGGACTATAGTTTCTTTCGCGACATTTTGTCACTACTCGACATGAAAACGTCATCAAATTTTTTTTATCAGTCAAAAGAGTATTATTCAAAAACTCTTAATTTCAAATGTGAGATAATTCTGAAAAAAACTTGCTGAACTACGACGATCCAAAGATCGCAGCTCGGCCAAACTCTGGTCACATGAACTTCGTGACGTCATTTTGTTGGATCAAACACCAAGATAGTGAATAACGTAAGAACTAAAACTAGAAAAATATGAAATGTGAACGAATAGATAGAGCAGAAGGTCGCAGAAACAACATGAACTGGACAAATGACTGGCTACCCTTCCTGGTATTAGTAATTTTTCAGTCCTCAAGACCTCAATACTCTTTTATAAAATTTTTGATATATAACGCGCGCTCTGATTGGCTGATGACCATGTTTATATCAGAGGACAGAGACACGGCTTACCGGCAAAATTTTCTTTTCGCTCGAAAAATTTTATAAAAGAAATATAAAACAGCCGCTTGTATTTCTGTCCTCTGATATAAACACGGTGGGAGTTGAAAAACACTCGAGAAGCAAGAGAAACACTCGCTACGCTCGTGTTCCTAAGCTTGCTTCTCTCGTGTTTTTCGAACTCTCACCGTGTTTATATCAGAGGACAGAGACATGCGCGCCGTTTTATATTTCTTAAATAAACCACACTTTTTTGGCCAATCAGAGCGCGCGTTAGAATTCATCTATATAATAATAAGCTGAGAATTAATGTGCCATTCGAAATCGGCCGGAGGGAAATCAGCGTTCTTTGAAATTCTTCTTTTTGTCATAAAACTATTATTTATTGGAGTAAGTTAAAAATGCATGCTTTAAAAATTTTAAACTATGTTCAACAATGTCTGTTTATTTGAGGAAAATCGAGTTAGATTAAGTTGTTCAAACGGTCCTTTAAAAATGTTAAGTGTGGAAGGAATTGTTTTCTACGTTTTCTACATAAGCTTACATGCCAATTTTAATGTTGTAATATATAACTTATTTTTGTGTTCAAATAAATTTGGTGATGAATTGATTGATTTTGATGAACTTTTGTCGTCTCTACGCGATATGCAGAGATTCAAAGGCATATTTATACAGCATCTGATCCAATAATTACAACTTACCTCAATCTAAACTCTGTCTAAAGCAAGAATGGATTTTACACAACGCTTATTAGAAAAAATAACTTTAAAAGTTCTAGGAATTCTCTTGCAAGGGACGCTTCCTCGTTTCCACTTTTCTGCGTCTGCGTCATACTTTAGCACAGGGATCCCAAAGCCAACAATTGTCTTTCTTTATTGATAAGTATAGAGGGGGAGATATCAGGAAAAACGGCAAATTACTCCTTAATTCAGAGCTAAAACAACATCACCAGGTAAGACAAATGTTTTACTTTTTTTCTTTCAAAATGTTCATKTCTAAATGCAATTCTGGTATATGGGCGGCCCGTGCTTATTGGTAAATATTCATTTTTATGGTCATAYATTAGAGCAGCTCAAATAAGTTTGCAACTGTAGAACAATTTCAATGTTTTTTTTATTTATTAAATCCATACATATTCTGATTTACAATTGAAGTAAAAATTATTCTATAATTTATATAATTATACTAACTCTACCCTACTATAAAGCATATTGTGATATAATAGTCATTTAACATGTGAATGAAAATTTTTTTAATTGTGCGAAAGCCACTCTATTAACAAATCCGACATATAAATAGAAACAATATTTGTCAGTTCTTCCTGCCCAAAATATGTTTTTACTTCTTTATCTTATACTTTATTTTATTTGGACTCAGACAGGTGTCTCACGACTCGGGTTTGACTCAGGCTTTGACTTGGTAGTTGAACTCCCAGAATCCTTATAAAACCACAGCAATACAGCTGGAATTGCAATAACTAAAACATTTCCTATTTTTTCATCAACTTTTGAGGCATAAAATGAAAACCCTATTGTTACCATGACAACACATGCAGCACATGCACTATACACAGGGTGGGAATTCTTCGATTCAAAGTAAATATATATTCCAAAGAAAAAAGCCAGGACAATAACACATTCACACAGAAACATAGGTAGAGCCCAGGAAGGATCAGCTGGTATTCCACCACAAAATACCCACAACAAATGGTAAACAATCTGATAAGTGCATGCAAGCATAAATTTTGATCCCAGCTTTCCCAATATTTTCAAATATTTAGGTTGTTTTTTACACTTGCATTCAGAATCACATTTACGTACCCATTTAGGGATTTTTTTACAGCTGCAGGAACCATACTGATTACATTCATTCACACATTGATCATTGAAGGATATATGAAATTTCTTACAGCACTTGCAAAAAGGAATGAATAAGAATATGAAATATGAAAGTATATAAAGGAAAATGCCTAACATTTTAAAATACAAATGACTGAAACGAACTTTTGACATTTCAGAAATCAATAAGTAGGCAATGTACAACAATTCAGCTACCATCAATATGAAACAAGACAAACTTAAGACTATGCATGTTCTTGAAAACAAAATCATTTCTTGACTATCAAACAATTTTTTTGCAAACAAGTAAATGACAATTGTAGATGCGACAGAAGCTACAKATATCCAGATGCCTCTCCAGTTATTCCAGTCTGGACATACAATTGGTTGTTCMACATCTCCTTCATGACCAACTACCACACATTGKGCTGTGTTGACTCGYGGGTCAGACAAATTTGGAAGTATGGCAATATCTTGTAACTGAAAATGGRAAAATGCAATTTCATTCTTCATGAGCTAGAACATACAGGGAAAACATTTAAAATCATATCTGGTATAGTACCCATCTTTTTTAGGGAAAATAGAGGTGTAGACGAGGTGAATTGAGACACTGGACACTTTCTACTGTCAATCATTCACCTCAAGTAATCTACTTACTATTTATAAGGGGTACAGGCACGCCCTTATAAAGATTTATAAATGTTCACACACCTAAGACAATTACAAACAGGCATCTATCAATGCAAGCTGAACTGCTGTCTTGCTTTGATGTGAAGGCTTTACTACCTTTCATATGGCGATGGGAACTGTCAGCATAGCTTTTAGACATTTCAGCTTCCGCCAAAAAAAATGAAGGCATGAACTTGCATTTTGAACGACTTTCTCAGACTTGTGGTGTCTTTTCTTGACGATTCAACAAAAATCTTTTCCAAAAAAGAAAGTCTGCTCAAAACCCTCACCCACCCAGCATAACAACGGAATGAACGAAACCCCATAGAAACAAACGCATTTTTACATCCGCCCTTACCGTTAAAAGAACGTATCTCCACGCTTCGTTTTCATCTTTGAAACCATTCTCCTTCAATATTTGTGACTTGTTGCACAATCGATGCACTGTCAAGTCCAATTCAGCTTGCCTTCGCTGTGGCCATAGTGTTCCCAAAGAAAATACTGTCGCTGCGTCAATAAAGACGTCGGTTACAAAGGCACAACTTTCAGCCCAAGTAAACTTTTTGACTTCGTAAACAGTCTGATTACTGATGATTCGTAGGGTTACTTTGATATACAACGACGGTTGATTCTGAGTGAGTGCTGGGAATAGGGCTCTTGAAATATTCCTCCAATTGTCTGATGTTAATCCTTTCAATGGTGGGATTTTAGAAGAAAGTTCACGTTCAACTTCATTTAAACTTGACAGGCATTTTGTTAAGTTGGAATTAGTGGAGTTTTCTGCATAGCTATAAACTACTGCAGAGATCAGTATGGCTAAAACATTAAGTGTCAAACTTGACATATCGTCGACTCGGAAAGACCAGACAGAAACTGCTTCCTCGTTCTCAGTGCCTCCGCTATTTCTTTCCACAGGGATCCAAAAGCGTTTTATTTTTTTTTACCCAGCGTTTTTTGGTCTTTTTTATATGTTATTTTTTCACATTCGGTACCTCTTTATCCTGGAGGAAAATAAAAGTTATTTGTTATTATTATATATTTTTTTTTGCATTCATAGATAATTATCTTATAAAAAGAATATTACATGGTCGGCTTGAGATGAAAATCTCTCGCTACGATTTTCAACACTCGAAGATAAAATCTGTATTTCCGCGCGTCCATATTACAACATTTATCTAATAKATGTCAGTTAAAGATATCTTCGATA